TCAGAGGCCGAAGGGCTGCAGATTGCTAACTCCACAAGGAAATAGGATTGATAGAGAATGATTTTTTTCGTAAGAACATCCTGCTAAATCATCCCTCTAAACCCAATGACAGTGAGACAGTGCTGTGTAGTGGTTTGAGCAGCATTAATTAAGTTGTCAGGTGGGCTTAGCTCCCCGATCCATCATCCTTAAACCACCGCTGGTCCTGCATGTCACTAGCTGTTCGCAGTAGCCCTCGGCCCAATCAGCCCTACCTGCTGGGTATCTGTTGTGTTGCTGGGGTGACAGTGAAGTTTCTGGGGGTGGCATGGGCCTCAGAGTTGGGTCGTGGGCCATGAGTTTTGAGCCAGGAGCCAGGCATGACTAGCCAGTGGTCGGAATCAACAAGCCAGGCTGTGGAGGTTTCTAAACCCAGGGTCCCCAAACTAAGGCCCATGGGCTGGATAAGGCCCAAGGGACTCATTTATCTGGCCCACAGCAACCCCCGCCGCCCGCTGCTGCTGCCCACTCTTACTGGCACTGCACTGTGCGGTTGCCCACTTCCGGGTCGGAGGAGCACCGGAAATAGCTTGTGCGCATGCGCAAGCATTATTTCCAGTGCACATCCAGGTTGGAGGAGGCCCGTGCACATGCGCACAAGCTATTTCCGGTGCTCCTCCAACCCGAAAGTGCACCGGAAATAGTGTATGCACACGCATGTGGGCATGTGCTCCCCCGCCCTCTGGCCCGCCGCACAATCAGCGCTGGAGATACTGGCCCAAGGCGCAGTAAGTTTGCAGACCCCTGTTCTAAACAGAGGTTGGAGAGCCATCTGCCAGGGATTCTTTAACTGTGATCCCTGCTTTGCAGGGGGTTCTACTAGATGAACCTTGAGATCCCTTCCAACTGCACAGTTCCATGATTTTATGATGAGATAGCAGACTAGAGGGCAAGAGCAAGCCAGGAGTCAGGAGCAAAAAGCAAGGGGTGTAGGAATACAGGGTTGCATTCAGTCCTACTCAAAGTTAGACCCATTGAAACCTAAACTAGCTGTGCCTACTGATGCCAGTGGGTTTCCTCTGAGTAGGATTAGCACTGAATACCCAAAGGAAGGAAACGGCCTTATAGTCAGACCCTTGGTTCATCTGCCTCAGTGTTGTCTCTACTGACTGGCAGCAGCACTTAGGCAGGGAATTCTAGCCCTACCTGCAGATTCTACTGGGGATTGAAGCTTGGACCTTCTGCATGCAAGGCAGCTGATCTGTTCCTGAGCTATGGCCCTTCCTTAAAAGGAGGGCCAAAGAACTCAGGGCACAGGAACAAACCAGAGCTTAGGGAGACCTGATGCCATGAACTGGCAGGACAATGGGGAGGAGGAAGAGGATCCCAGTGAGGGGTGTAGCTGGGGCTGGGACACACCAGGGCAAGCAGGGGATGGGGAAGTAAGTAATCACAGGGTGATGAAGGATGGCAAAGGGATGGGCATCAGTGAGCAGGAACCACAGCAGCAGGACCCATCACCAGAGCCAAAGGGACCACTGTCTCTGTTAACACGGTGGGCTCTGAGGCATAGGGAGCAGCAGCAGGAGAGGTGCTCCAGGAGGCTGAGTCAGGCAAGGGCCCACAGCCCAGCTCCCTAGCTGGCCAGGTGGGGCTCGCTAGCTCTGGGGTGAGGGATGTGATTCTTCAGCTGGGGTAGGAACAGGTGAGGGTTAGGGTTAGGGTTAGGGTTAGGGTTAGCCCTGAAAATTTTGCAGGAATAATAATAATAATAATAATAATAATAATAATAATAATAATAAATTATTTATACCCTGCCCATCTGGCTGGGTTTCCCCAGCCACTCTGAGCGGCTTCCAACAAAATATTAAAAATACATTAAAACATCAGTCATTAAAAACTTCCCTAAACAGGGCTGCCTTCAGATGTCTTCTATATTGAGTATTAAGACAGAGGTCACATATGACCACCCTGGAAACATCATGGGCCCAAGTCATTATAAATACACCATAAACAGGACGTCTGGAACGGCCCCTGATGGGCTCAGCTGCCTGGCTAATTTCCTCTGACGAAGCCATCCATCTTTTTCTTCCTTGCCTTTCCTGATGGCTCTCTCTTTGCCAACGCTTTGCAACAGAAATATTTAGTTTGCAACCATCAGCAGTTCGGGAAGTCGGGGGAAGAAATCCCTGAACCTCAAAGGAGGCCAAGAACGAGAATAAATGGATAGCTTATTTTAGTGAAAGTGAATTTTTTATATATATAAAAGTTGTATATTGGTGTACGTGCATCTCTGCTGAGGGAGTGGAGGAGGTGCTAACGAGGGTGAGAAATGCTGTTTATTTGCCAGCTCACGCTTTCACTTGGAGGGCCTGCGTAATTAGAATGTAACCAGTTAAATAATGTATGGCCATCCGGAGGGAATTCGCCTACCTGTGCATATGTGAGTAGGGCTTTCTCTGCGGGTAGGAGAGTTCCCAAGCATGCCATTTGCCCCCCCCCCCACTGCTCCATGCTCCTTCCACGGGGAGATTTGATTTGGAGGAAAGTGCAGCCTTATTGCTTGCAGAAAGCTTCACATCCTCCAACTCTGCCAGATCATCTGTACCTTAACCAGACAAAACTTAAAAATACAAATACTTGGGAACTGCATCATTCATCATGCATGCACGTAAATCTTAGGAAGAATTAGTGCTTGTTTTCTGGGCCCTCTGCTTCACCCTTTTGTACAGTGTGTGTTAGTGGGGACGGGCTAAATAAATCAACATTTTTTGTTTTGTTTATTTTTTAAAGGGAGGCTTACAGGTACGAGAGGCTGCAAAGCACTAATTAGAAGTAACAGGGTTACAATCTAAATATGTATGATTTAGAAACTGCATTTGAAGGATTCTAAATGCTTCACAGGTATTTGAGCCAAAATCCCTATAGCAGTCCTGTGGGGTAGACCTATGTTATCCTCATATTGCGGATAGGGGCACTGAGGCTGAGTAGTGGGAGATTCCTTAAGGCCAATGAATGAGCTGCTGGCTGAGCTGTGAAGTGAATGTTTCCTAACTCGGAGATCACACTTGGAAAGTAGAAACTTCCCCCACCCCAGCCAACAGAATATTCAAGGATGGTTGTCAATGTGTGATCTGGAAAATGCTTCTCAAGTTCTTCTGCAAATGCAAGGATTGGCCTTTGAGATAACACAGAGCTCCAGAAAGCTAGATTATACCCAGAGACCCCATGGGTTTATCACAGAGGTAGATAGGAATCTACAGGTAGGTTTCCAGATGATTTGCCTTTCATCTGCAAGGATTTCAGCTTCTCAGTTGGTTAACAATTGCAAAAACCAGTAGCATCTGGTGGGGCGACTTACCAAACCTCTCCCACCACCCAGTCAGAACAGTGCAATTGCACCAGCAGGGGTCAGAAGGTGCATTTGCCTTGCATGGACCTCACTTCCATTTTGCCCCTTGGCCTCTTGGGACGCCACAGCAATGGCAGTGATGGGAGATGAGGTAAACAGGCTGCTGGAACTACAAAAGCCAGCCTAATTGGCCTCAGGATGCCATAGATTGAGCCTGGGGTCTTGTGCATGCCATCAGGGGGAGGCTGGTTCATTGGGGACTGGTGCACTGCCCTTCCCTTCTCAATTACCTGCCTGGCTTCTCAATTACCAGCAGTTCATGGGAAGGCCCTGGTTGTGCAGTTCCTCCTCCCCAGTCTCTGCTTTGCCCCTGTACAAGACAGCAATGGGGACAAAACTAGAATTGGTTGGCCCCATCTAAGGACAAAAGAAGAGCCTACTGGATCAGGCCAATGGCCCATCTTAGTCTCACAATGGCTGCCCAGATGCCCTCAAGGGAAACACACAAGCAGGATCTGGGCACAAGGGCACTCTGCCTCCCTGTGGTTTCCAGGAACTGGGATTCAGAAGCATTACTGCCTCTGGCTGTGGAGGTAGAACATAGTCGTCATGGATAGTAGCCACAGATCTCCGCAATGAATTTGTCCAGTCCTTGTTTGATACGATTGAAGCTGGTGGCCATCACTGCCTCCTGTGGGACCGAGTTCCATAGTTTAACTGTGTGACAGACTAGCATAGTGGTTAAGAGTGGTGGACTCGTAATCTGGTGAACCGGGTTCACTTCCCCACTCCTCCACATGCAGCTGCTGGATGACCTTGGGCTAGTTTCACTTCTCTGAAGTGTCTCAGCCTCACTCACCTCACAGAATGTTTGTTGTGGGGAAGGAAGGGAAAGGAGATTGTTAGCCACTTTGAGACTCCTTAAAGGGGAGTGAAAGGCGGGTTATCAAGTCCAAACTCTTCTTCATCATCTTCTTCCTTTATCTGTCCCGAATCTTCCAATATTCAGCTTCACTGGATGTCAAGGAGTTTTAGTATTATGAGTGAAGGAGAAAAGCTTTTCTCTATCCACACTCTCCATCCGATACATCATTTTATAAACTTCTATCATATCACCTCTAGGTTGTCTTTCCTCTAAACTAAAAAGTCCCAAATGCTAAATCAGTAATACTAGAATTCATTATTAAAATTCAAATAACCCTAAACAGAAAATGATTGAAGACTGCATTGAGTATATATGTTGCAAATCCAAAAGTTAAAACAGATCCATGGTTGGCTCCACCTGTAAACCAGAGAGCTGCCATTCCATTTCTACGTGTTGCTGGACCCACTGTTAACCAGCTGTGCAGCTGGGCTGGAGCATCAGCTAAGCTGGGTTTCGGATAGGTTTGATTGATGAGTGCCTTAGCAGCACCGCATCGCCGAAGGGAGCTTTTTAATTACAAGAGGACTCTGCAGGGGTGCAGGCGCTGTTGATCTGAAAGCCTCCCTGTTACACCTCAGTGCTCCTGGCAAGCCATCTCTACCTAGGAACCCATCTCCAAACAGGTAGCAGAATGCAGAGGTGTATGTGGAAATGGAGCAGCACCATTTTCTGCTACATATTCCTAGCTCTTTCTCTTGCACCATTTTTTCTTTGTCATTCATTTGTGCATCTTTGTATTTCCCTCTGTATCCCCCATTTCTCTCTCTCTCTCTCTCTCTCTCTCTCTCTCTCTCACACACACACACACACACACAGAGAGAGAGAGAGAGAGAAAGAGAAAGAGAAAGAGAAAGAAAGGGAGAGAGTTGTATGTTTGTTTGCTGATGAATCCCTGCTCTGGCTACCATGCCAATCTGCATTTAAGTTGGTGTGCACATGGAATAGGGCCTTCTTTGGTGGTGGTAACCTCTGTATCCCCCCCACCCAGGGAAGCCAGTCAGGCCCACACTCACCCATAAATTTTGCCTAGGAATTTCAAGGAATTACTGTAGAATTTCTACAGAAGCAAAACAAAAGTACAAAACCAAACAGATGAGGGTGGCAGGAGGGAGAGGAAGGATAGTTGTATATTAGTATTTTCCACCAAAAGTAACACAGAATCTTGTGGCACTTAAACACAATCATAGTATAAAATTTTAGCAAGTGCATGAAGTGGGTCCCCAAAAGCACCAGCCACACAGCTATTCTGCTAGTCCTTAAGGTGCCTCAAGATTGTTTGCTCAATAATACTATTGCAAGATCTATGAGTGACTCTAAATATCTTTACATTGGGCTTTTAACAGGTTGAATAAGGTAGGAACCCTCTGTGCACTTACCTGGTAGTAAGCCATATTGAATACATTGGCACCCATTTCCAAATAAACATGACACAGGGTTGTATCCAGTTAAGCTTTGCCCAGAGTAGACCCATTCAAATCAATGGGCCTAAGTCAGTTGTCCCTGTTAATTTCAGTGGGTCTACTCTTAGTATGACTAACATTGTATGCAACCCACAGGCATTTCAGAAAACCCAGTGGAATAGCAGCCCAAGTTGCTTTGTTATGTTCCACTTTTCATATTTGTTCTTTTCCCACTAGCATCTTAAAGGTAATTTTGCTTTACTACATTGTTATTGTTGCTTTAGATTGGGTGTGTTTTATCGGAGGGCTTGAATAATCTTAATTGAAGTTAATGCCAACATTTCACCTGAAGTCAAATTCAAAGTGAGTTTTTTGTGGGTGTGGGGTGGGCACCATCCTCAGGCGAAACAGCTGAGGAATGCCACGGGCAGATAAATTTTGATGAGATTAACAACACTCCAAGGGAGACTTTGCACAGCCGTAGGATATTGCCAGATTGTGCCCACGGCAAAATCTTAGTGTGACTCTGGAGCAAGATTTTGAGGGAACGCTACCAGAATTTCAATATCTAGCACAGTTTCTTGGGGTCACGATATCACCCAGCTCCGTAACAGCATTAGGTCTTCTGAGTCTGAAATCAATACAGAAAGCAGCAGGGAGCTCGTTAAGAGGTTTAAAAAGGAGGGTGAAATTATTCAAGGGATTGGAGAAGAGATGGGGAAGGAATTCCACTCCATCCATATTTAAAGGTGAACCTTCCTAATTTGTACTTTCCTGAACAATACATGAACCGATTCACGGCAGTCCTCTCAAATTCACATTTGTCTGAATTTTGCAATGTAATTCTCCAGCCAAATATTTTGTACAATGTTGTATATCATAGAATCATGGAATTATAGAGCTGTAAGGGGCATCACAGGGTAACTAGTCCAATCCCCTGCAATGCCAGAACCACAACTGAAGAATACCAGGCAGATGGCCACCCAACCTATAACATATGAACGTATAAAAATGCATTATATATGGGGAAATTGCTTTGCAAAAATGTGAATGGCCTTCTCCTGGCCTTCAGTCCCAGCTCCTGGCTTGATAATTGAACTCTGATCAGTGGCTCCTGGTTCCTGTTCCCAGGTCATCTCAGACCTAAGAAAGAATGAGGTTATTTTCACGGAGGTGCCTAGAAAGGAACCATTGTTGAGCTGATGATCAACACGTGTTCCTCATTCTGAACTTTCTTTAAATTCTCCTGGGGGTGTGGGAAGGAAACTTTAACAGAAAAAAGAGGGGAGGGGGAATGCTAACACATACATGCCTTATTCCCCCCCCTGGATTCCAAACAGAATCGAGGTGCATAAATATGCTTAATAACTGAGCACTTAGCACTTAATGGAAATTTTCTTTTTCTCTCATGATTAGTTCTGGGTCAGTAAAACACCATTTACAGCTTACAAGGACTGATTGCTCTTGACGGAGCCTGTTTCTTTCCTGCTTTTTTCCTTGCTGCAGTTTGATTTACAAATAAGAGGCAAAAGTACAGTAAGAAGAGCCCGAGGGAGGATGGGGCAGGGGGAGGAAGCCGCAGAGCAAAAGGCCTCTGCCACCCTAATGGAACAAAAAAGCTTGCTCGGTCTGTGCAGCGGCACGCCAAGGAGCTACCAGCTGCCCTTAGGCTCTGAGTGAAGCCGTAAACTCAGGGCTCCACCTGCCCCCCCTTAATATTCTTGTGGAGCTGCCTCTCATCTGATAGCACTTGTCAAGCTCTCTCCAACTCACCTCATTAATTTGCTTGTTTTCCCCAGGTTTTCTAAGGGAACAGGGGAATGTTAAAAATGCAAAGAGCTCTCAAAGAAAGTTAGAGGCGGTGTTGATTCACTGGGGAGGGGGCTTCCTTTCAGACTTCCTTCCAAATCCCACTCTTCCTCGAACCAATGTAATCTGATTAGTGATGGCAATAGCCTGTTTGTTGCATCTTCAATACCTTGACACACCTGTTGTCTCTGGGAAGCATTTCATGGAACTGGAAACTACAATAATGGGTGCACCAAGGCCTTAAGAATAAGGTTTCTGCTGTTACACAAGAACATAAAAGCAGCCTGCTGGACCAGGCCCATAACCCTGTTCTTACAGTGGTTAATCACTGCATCAATGTGTTGGGTGGGGGACATAGGCATCAAGTAATGGCTGGTGGTGAGCCCATTATAATGTGGGCCTAAGCTTTGGGACTCCTGCCAACCTAGCAGTTCGAAAGCACATCAAAGTGCAAGTAGATAAATAGGTACCACCCCGGCGGGAAGGTAAACGGCATTTCCATGCACTGCTCTGGTTCACCAGAAGTGGTTTAGTCATGCTGGCCACATGACCTGGAAGCTGTACGCTGGCTCCCTTGGCCAGTAAAGCGAGATGAGCGGCGCAACCCCAGAGTCATTCGCAACTGGACCTAATGGTCAGGGGTCCCTTTACTTTTTAAGCTTTGGGAATGGTGGCCTTACCTCATAATGAGTGATTTTTTGAGTTTTCCATTAAAGGTACCCCTGCCTGTACGGGCCAGTCGTGTCCAACTCTAGGGTTGTACGCCCATCTCACTTAAGAGGCCGGGGGCCAGCGCTGTCCGGAGACACTTCCGGGTCACGTGGCCAGCGTGACGAAGCTGCTCTGGCGAGCCAGCACCAGCGCAACACACGGAAACGCCGTTTACCTTCCCGCTATAAAGCGGTACCTATTTATCTACTTGCACTTTAGGGTGTTTTCGAACTGCTAGGTGGGCAGGAGCTGGGACCGAAAGACAGGAGCTCACCCCGCCGCGGGGATTCGAACCGCCGACCATGCGATCGGCAAGCCCTAGGCACTGAGGTTTTACCCACAGCGCCACCTGCGTCCCTGAGTTTTCCATTACAGATCCCCAGTTCTGAACATCAGAGGAAGTTCTCCTGGGCAGGTTCCAAATGCAGCTGGGGGAGTACTGTAATATATTTTTTAGCTGTAGCAAGGATAAACAGTAGCCAAATATCAACACAGATATTTTGTGTATATGCTTGTTTGTTTGTTTAAAAACAACCCTACCTTTTCACCCATGAGGCCCACAAAGCGATAAAGCAATAAAAATGAAGAGATCTACATGAGGGGTGGCAGACTCTTCAGATAGCCTTAATTGTCAGAGGGACTCAACAAATTTACCCTTAATCGTTGAGCTGTCATTTATTACACTTGTTTGGAAAACACTGGGCTGCAATAGGGAATTCTAGAATGCATTTTGCAGTCAAGGCCACCATGGAGCAGGGTTTAGGAGCTGTTTAGCAGGACCTCCCTTTGGAGCTGATTTGGGCTAGAAGTGCTTTATGGAGGCGTAATCATTTTAATCAAGCAACGAAAGCTCACGTTGCTTGGCCAGTATTAATTGCAGAGGGAAAATGTTAAATTCAAGTTAAGATCACATTTGTTTGGCATTTTGGGTTATTTTGTTTCTAGTGCATAACTAATAGTGAATGGGAAAGAAAATGAGGGGTGCCCTTCCCTTCTTTTGCTTCAATGCCCAGCACGTTCACACACACATATACACGTACATGTATAAAACTTTTAATTTTCACACCACTTTTCTATATTGTAATACTTGAGGCTGTTTACAACCCATAGAAATGACAAAATATACAGCAACAACAAAATCACATCTTGTTCATTCAAATGAAAATAAGTCGCCATTAAAATGATAACTTAAAAAGCCCAAACAATTTAGCAATTAGCAATTAGCATAAAATTCAATAATCCATTTCATTTCAAGCTGTCTTACACATCCTTCAATATCTCCAAGGCGCCAAATATGGAGGTTTTGGTAATATGGAAATGGATTTTAATTTCGTGATTTATTAAATGTCTACAAAGGCCTTCTGCTCCAATGTCTGAAGGGCTGGCACATCACACAAGAGGGAGCAGGCTTGTTCTCTGTTGCTCCAGAGGAACAAGACGAGGACCAAGAGGTGGAAATGGATACAAAGCGGATTGTGGTTGACAAGGAGAAACTTCCTCATTGTAGGAGGGGTCCCTCCCTCAGGAGGCAGTGAGAGGGGCATTCTTCCTTCCCTGCTTCCCTCTGGAAGAAGAGGCAGGAGAGCCATTTGTCAGGGATGCATTGCACTGAGCAGGGGGTGGTCTAGATGGTTTTGAAAACTCCTTCCAATTCACTGGGTTGTATCTAATGTTAGTCCTAGTCAGAGTAGACCCACTGACTAGCCTGGGCCCATTGATTTAGTTGGCTACAATCCTATGATTCTGCAATGCATTGGATTTGTCTGCAGTTTGGGCCTTGTTGACCCAGATGTCTTGATCACTAGCCCTAGTCACATGCTACATGCCAGATGAATCTCATTTCTTTCTTCTTCTTTGTTATAGTTACAAGCTTGGTGGATCAGGGGAATACTAGTATAGTGTATCTTGATTTCAGTAACTTTTTGACAAAGTCCCCCATGATATTATTGTG